AAAAAAAAAAAAGAAAAGAACTCACTCCTTGCAGCTGGAAAGGGGCAGAGAGGAAGGGTGCTTGGAGGAGAGGGTAGCCCTGCAGACTGTGCCTCGCATCCCAGTGCTGCACAAAGAGCGTCTGACAGTGGGGAGGCTGTCAGTGAGGGGCCACAGAGGTGGTGAGGGATCTCAGCTATCTCTCCCCACAGCCACTGGGTCCCTGCACAAGGCTGTGGTGAGCCAGGACAACAGCGCTTATCTGGTGGAAGAGATCCAACTGTTCCCTGACCCTGAACCTGTTCGAAACCTGCAGCTGGCCCCCAGCCAGGTGGGAGGGGACCTGGTCATCCATTGGTCTTCTGCAGGGGCTGGCAGGGTGTTGGACCTTTGCAAGGTGTCCTGGGGCCTCCTGACACTCATCTGTCCTCCAGGGCGCGGTGTTCGTAGGCTTCTCGGGAGGCATCCAGAGGGTGCCTCGAGCCAACTGTAGTGTCTATGAGACCTGTGTTGACTGTGTCCTTGCCCGGGACCCCCACTGTGCCTGGAACCCTGAGTCTCGAGTCTGCTGCCTTCTATCCACCCCTGACCAGTAAGTCCTGGGTAGCAGGTGAGGAGGCCCACTGGTTCCCTTCTTCCCTGGCTTCTGCTGCTCTTCTTCCTCCAAGGCCGACTGACACATTCACTCCAAGATCCACCCCTCCCATGGTGGCCTTCTCCTGGCCTGGCATTTGGCTGATGGTTCTGAAGCTGAGCCAGCCCTCCTGGGTCCCCAGGTCTCTTTGCTGTCCAAACTCAGCTCGGCTCCTTGGCTCTGTCTTCCTCTCTGCGCTTCCATCCTTTCATCCTCTTCCCACTTCTGTTGTTTGAAGGGACGATTTTTGCTTATCTTGCCTTCTCAGGAAACACTGGAAGCAGGACATGGAGCGAGGGAACCCAGAATGGGCATGTGCCAAAGGGCCTGTGGGCAGGAGCCACCGGCCTCAGAGCCGCCCCCAAATCAGTGAGTGTGGGGCTTGGGCAGGACCTCTGGGTGAGGGTGGGCATTCCTGCTCCTGTGTCTTCCGCTGCTACCTGTCTACCTGAGACTTGAGCCTCAGCCTTGGGATGGATATGGATCCTGGAAGAAGGAATACTGAGCTGGTGTCTAAACTAGGATTCAGTTTGAGGCAAAAGTTGGCTTTGGTGCCAGGCTGGAGTTTGAAGGATTAGAGGCTAGTTCGGAGTTCAGTCTAAAGACAGAGAAGAAGGGGCTGGGGAGATAGCTCAGTAGAATGAATGCTTGATTAAGGACCTGAGTTCAATCCCTGGTTCTGCCAAAAACAAAAGCAAAAAATAAAATAAAATAAAAGAAAGACAGAGAAGAGAGGAGCATTGAATTTGGGAGTTGAACTGGAAGCTGGAAATGAGAGTTGAGGTCCGAATGCAAGTTAAGCACTCCCTTCCCTGTATTTCTTCTTCCCATCTCTTAATCATCTTTCTTTGTCCTCTAGTTAAAGAAGTCCTGGTGGTTCCCAACTCCATCTTGGAGCTTCCCTGCCCCCATTTGTCAGCGCTGGCCTCTTACCACTGGAGTCACGGCAGGGGGACAATCCCAGAAGCCTCTTCTGCTGTCTACAATGGCTCCCTCTTGCTGCTGCCACAGGATGGAATTGGCGGCCTCTACCAGTGCATAGCCACTGAGAACGGCTTCTCATACCCAGTAGTCTCCTACTGGGTGGACAGCCAGGATCAGCCCCTGGCCATGGATTCGGAACTGGCGGGCATTCCCCGGGAGCGTGTGCAGGTCCCACTGACCAGGGTTGGTGGCGGGGCTGCCATGGCTGCCCAGCGATCCTATTGGCCTCACTTTCTCGTTGTCACTGTTCTTCTCGCCTTAGTGCTCTCAGGAGCCCTCATCATTCTTCTCGCTTCCCCACTGAGGGCACTCCGAGCTCGGGGCAAGGTCCAGGGCTGTGGGGCCCTGCCCCCTGGAGAGAAGGCCACCTTGAGCAGGGAGCCCTGCCTCCAGCCCCGAAAAGAAAGCCGGACCTCTGTTACAGATGTGGGTGCTGAGAACAACCATGTGGGCACGGAGGTGGTTTAAACTGTGGGTGCAGGCTGAGCTTCTGAGTAGGACATGCACCTAGCCTTGTTGGCTGTGGGCCCCGAGTCATGCAGCCCTGCCTGGGGGGTCGGAGGGTGGTGCATATGACGACCTCCCTCCTCTGACAGGAGCTCCTCCTGCCATCCGGGCTGCCAGTAGCACCCAGTGGGGCCCTGCATGGAGCCTTCTTCCCCAGCACGGCGTCCTTCTACTAGGCACAAGGCTCTCTGATGTAGGGTGCCCCCAGACCTGTATCTGTGCTGTGACAGGAGGATCTGGAGGTGGTCCTGCCGTGCTGACCATCCCAGGAGCTCTCCGGAAAG